AAAACCACTTTAAAGCCAAGTCTTATTTCACCAGTGGATTTAGACAATATTTAACATTTAATTTAACACTGTCAGACAACAACCTGTCAAACATGATCAATGTTAAATGATGTAAATGAAGTATGTATTCCACTATTAAGGGCATTTAAAGTCTCCATAAGAGCCAGGAGAGCATTTATAATAATATTATTATTATATTATTTAATATTATTATTAGATCAGACTTTTTACTGAACAGTCGAAGACAATGTTTCATGTAAAATTTCTATAATGAATGTAACCAGTGGCGAAAATTTTTATTTTTATCATCCAAATTTCTCGTCAATTATTCTAGTTTTGTGTAATCAGAGATGGGCATAAATACATGAAAATGTATTTAAAATAAATATACAAAATATTGTGTAGAAAAATTAATTTAAACAAATACAGTATATATTTTTTTAAATACACAAAATACATGTGAAATTGGCCATTAAATGTAGGCATCCCTATAGGCTGAAATCTATCTCAACCTATTCTGAATGCAAAAAAAAAAAAAACATTTAGATGTCCACAACTGCTTAGAAACTTCAGTTTCCATTTTACCTCTTCCCTTCCCCTGCCCTGTAAGAAATAGAAAACTACAAAACAAAATAATAATAAATAAATACACTTTTTATATTTATTTCATGTAAAGTTTTTGTTATATATAAAGTTGTTTATTCAAATTAGAAAATGTATCTAAAATGTAAATTTTAAAATTAGAATTCATTTTAATAGCATTTAACACTAGCCTATTTGCTGAAAGTTTTTTTTTATGAACAAAAAACCAAAAGCTGAAGATGTTTTGTTGTGTACCATTCATCAGTGTTTGTATCAGTATTGTAATCAACAGTCAGCATTGTTCAATCAGTATTGCTCAATTTAATTTTATACGTGTTATTTTTGTTCTGAAGTCATAATCTCAAGTTTACTGGGTTTTACAAAAATCTTTGATGCTTTTGTGTGGGTTTAAGTAGTATAGCTACTCAAAAACATTTTCACACGTCTCCTACAAAATGACCCACAACCTTATCAGTTTATATGTTCTCACGAAACGATTGTTTGACAAACTAGTCGGCAAACTACATCCTCTCACCGCTGCTTTCTGATGGTTTGGAGAACAATTACTCTGAGTTGCCTCATCGTTTCACAGAATTATACAATGGCGAGCAAGTGTGAAAAGTGTAGTAAAGTAAAGGCGGGCGTACACGGTGCGATTTTTGCAGTCGTACAAGCTCGCAGGCGATTTTTTTCTCTTGGAGAAAATCGCAGATGGTCGCGACTCGTACCGTGTGAGAAGAATTACTGGCCGATCTGAGACGTTACGAGCACCTCCCGTCTTCCCGATAATTTTCAAACATGTCAAAAATAATCGGATGCTGTCGGTTTAAATTCGTGGCGTATGTGCGGTTGGACGAGACGATTTGGCGATCCATCTGAAGTTGACCAATCAGAAGATGACAAAAACCATATAGTCTATAATCATTTTAGTTTAATTATACAGTTCTATTTTTTATTTGTTATTCCGAATGTGCCAAATTTGCCGTTCAACTTTATAAATGAATATGCCTGTTGTATTTCCGGCAAAACTAGCATAAATTCAGAAATGGCCTACTCCCTCGAGTTCTTTATGAAGAACAGAAAGTCCATGCTTTTCTCTGCTTTTCAGCCATTCTCTTTGCCATGTCCTATGTCTTCGTTTTTTGTTTTTTTTTTGGATGTCACAAGCCATAGCTGCCACAAAGAAAACTATTTCGTCCTCAGAATCCATATTTTTATGAATGGCGCGAAACGTAATGCGTAAACCGTAGTAAATTCGTGTCGTGTGTGACTGCCTCCGTACGAGTAAAATCGTAGTAAATTTGTGTCGTGTGTGACTGCCTTTGTACGATTTTCGGATAAACTCAATCGTGACATGTGTCAGAGCTCACGACGTTCCGACCTTCAGAATCGCACTGTGTACGCCGCCTTAAGTGTCAAAAAACCGTGATCGTTTAGGGAGGAGCGCACACAGTCAGCAGGGGTGTATTCCAGAAAGCACGGTTAACTTACCTTCAGCTAAACCCTGAACTTTCGGTTGATTAACCCCAAACCTTGCTTACTCGAGGTATGTGGTTCCAAAAACGCGTCCGGGAGGAAGTTCATTCAATTCCAACTATGTTCCTGATTAAGTCACTATGGAAACGGACGTTAAGAAAAAGCGCGCCATGCTGTTTCTTTCTTCTTCTTTTGTTCAATGGTCGTTTACATGCTTAGTGCATATCGCCACCTAATTGATGGTTGTGCAATCATTTTTCTTTTTTTTCCGTTTAATCTTTAATCCTTGAGAATATGAATTATATTGTTTGTTTGATGATAATTATACATTAAGTCATATCAGATATGTATTTTTTATTATAAAAATACATTATAGAAAATGCTGATCCATGTGTGAGATGATAATATAAAATGTAATAAATATATATGAAGAGTTAATTTGCAAAAACAGATAACTCCGTTTTTAACAATTCTCAGAAATCATGTTTTTTCATT